GGGCCCTGGGGCTTTATTCACCCCGGGGTGGGGGGTTGTAGGGCTGTGGGGTTTGCCCCCAGCTGGGGCATCTCGGTACGGGAGGGTTTTGTTTTTTTTTGGGGGGGGTACCCCCTGGCTGAAGCATCACTGCAAAGAGGGTCTGGGGAGGGTCCCCCCCAATCTGGGGGGTGTCTGGGGGGGTTTGACGCTTTCCCCCCCTCATTCTGAGGTAGCTTTTGCAGGTGGGGGGTTGCCCCCCCACCCTGCATCTGAGGTAACTCTCACAAGGGGGGGGTGCCCCCCCCCAATCTGGGGTATCTCTTGCAAAGGGGGGGGTCTGTGGCGGTTTGCCCCCCCCCAGCTGAGGTAACTTTGCATGAGGGGAACCAGGCTGTGGGCTTGCATCTACCTAAATTTGCAGTATAAGAGAGCAGGGGCTAACGGGGGTTTAAGCCCCCCCACCCAGGACAGGACTGGGCTCTGACCCCCCCCCTATACACCCCCCCCCCCCTGGGGGCTAGCAAGGTGTGGGGCTAGGCCAGGAGAACCAGAGAAGCCCAAGGAGGGGGTCCAGTAAGCCCCAGAGCCACCCAGTAAGGTCAGGTAGGAGCCCCCAGTTGCGCCCCGCTGCCCCCAAATTTCAGCCCGTGGATGCTGTGCCACTGGAGATGATGCCACCTGAAGAGAAGAGCCCAGACGGTGGCGAGGAAGGGGACAGGGCAAGTGGCCTCGTCCTCCTGCAAGCCCTGAAGAGCGGCAGCACCCGAAAGGTGAGGGCACGGCGGTGGGGGTGTCACGGGTGGGGTGTAGGGTGGCCAAGCCATCTGAGCGATGGTCCGTGGGGATGGTGGTCCCCCGTGGGTGGTGGGGGGGTCCATCCTGGCCATCAAACCGTGCTGGGGGTGTCGGGGCAGGGCTTGGGGGGGGGCTGGATGGGGAAAGGGCTTGGTGTGTGATTGAAATGGGTCCAGTAGCATCCGTAGGCAGCCCTACACAACCGTCTCATAGTTCATCTCTTAAACTCTGCTCCTCTACCCCATCTTCCTCCACTGGCTCCACCTGCAAGCTTACCAGTGACTTCTTTTAACCAAATTCTCCTCTATTTTGGTTTTTCTTCCTTCCTGCCCATAAGAAGATGGTCCAGCCAAGCACTGCCTGCTCCGTCACCGTCGGAGGTACCGGGCAGGGTGTTCCTCACTGGCACGTTTCTTCCCCCCCGGGAGCTGCCCGCAAGGAAAGTCGGTGCAACGGCGGCCTGGCTATGCGTGCGAGATGGGGCCGATAGCTCCGCTGGCGTCACTCGTTTAATTAGTAACAGCGGGGTGAAACCCATGGGGATTGTCCTCGGGCTGCCATCAAACCCGCTGCTCGGCTTTCTCTGCCGTCCCTTGGGTGTCAATGCATGCTCCTGGGGTCGAGGAGGCTTTGAAGAACACTGCTTGTTGCAAGAAAAGATGAGTAAACATTAGTTTTTGGAGCTGTTTAAGTGTGTCTTCCGTTAGGTCTATCCCCTGGGAGCCAGCTTTATAAACTTGCAGTGAGTTTGCCCTGTAATCTGATCTCTTCTTGCAAGTATATAATTTTCAAAACTTGTTCTTCAGCAGAGAGCGGCATTTCTGCGGCCCGTTGGCAAAACAACCCAACACCTAAAAACCCTCCAAAACCCCCAACAACCAAAAAAGCAGAACTCGGACAGAGGTGGGTTTTTCTTCTTAAGCAAGGGTTGAGATTGCAACCTCGGCTGAACAAGGATCAATCTGATCTTGAGTCACTTGAGCCTGGCCTCTTTGACTGCAGCTAAAGAGGTTGCAACCTTAAACCAGGTTGGCGTTTACCCAGGGCCTTGTCTAAATAGCAGGTGCTGCTTGTAAGGAAAGATTAGCAGAACTTTTTTTCCCCCAATTTATTCTGCGTACAGACAAACCATTTCCCTTGTATGAGCACTTGGTTTACCCTGATTGGATCTACGGGACAGTAGCACAGAGGAGAATAACATAGGAAAATATTGCAGGGGAACTGGCAGGGGATATGCAGCATCTGTCATAACATGATTACTTTTTTAATTAAAAAAGTAATCACCTGATTAGATTTCCTACTAATGATATCAGTTGTTTATTTAGAAGAAACTACCAATATAGTCTCTTCTAGTTGTTTTTTCACCCTGAGAGCATCAGGAGCTGTGAATGCTGGCCACTGCATGTTTGCTCTCTTGCAGGGGATCTCAAATGCTGCTGTGATGGTGATTTTTTTTTTTTTTTTTTTTTGCCTGGGTTCATGTACTGGGGCAGAAGATTTAGTACATCTGTTTCCTGCTGGCATTCTGCCCCAGCCCTCATGATGCCCTGTGCCTCCCCCAGCTCCATGGAGCAGTTTCACTCTCCTAAAATTCAAACTCTGGATGAAGGTTTTGCTGTTTAAAAACCCAATTCCCTGTATTTTTATCCTCCCCCCCCCATTTTATTTTTCCTTCCTCTTGCTGAGTGCATTAGCCAACGGTGAGGGCACTTCGTTGGGAAATTTAAAACCTTAATCCTCTACTCATTTGTTAAAAGGCTGTGTGATGTAACCATATTCTCAATAAAAGGTTTTAGAGGTTTTAGCTGGTAATGTCTCCCACAGAAAAACAGCTTGCAGCCGGACTGCTTCATGAGATTAGTTTCATGATAGGGACTTTTATGTATAAATAGATGTCCAGGGAGCAAAAACATGTGTTGTGACCTACTGGTTGTCTTGTAGTAACAGCCCATATTACTTTCTGAAATGCCCTTGGCTGGGAGGAGAAGGAAATTATCGATAATCTTTTAAAAAGGAGAATTTTAAAACCCGCTTTTGTGTGCGGAGTAGTTCTCTGGCTTTTGTTTTGCTTTCTATCCCACGGGCTAATGTGGCTAAACTGGGGTCACTTGGCCACTTGTCCTGTACTGACCTGACTCAAACTCGTGGGTTGCAAAGAGGAATAATAATCCCAGTTGACAGCTCTGACTCTATCAAAATAGCTTTTAGACTAGTGTGATTCTGGAAGTAAAACTGGTGCTGAGAGGTTGATGCTCCAGTTAGCCTATTTCTACAGCAAGTTTTCCAGCTGCTGGATCATCTGTGCACTTGGAAACACTCCTTTTTGGGGACAAAACTCTGTGTTAGGAAATATTATTGCCCTGAGAGTGGATGAAAATAAGTACCTGCCCTTTTTTTTTCTTCTTTTTTTTCAGATGAGAGATGTTGTAAGCATTTACTGGGTATAGACCTGTAGGGTTGAGGTTGTACATAGAGACCATGTGCTCAATGCGCAGGGCTGGGGTCATGGATCAAGGGTACCTCTGTTAGTGACAGTGGTAGCTTGTGTGTCAATGCTTCCTAGAACTGTAGAAATTGTTGTCATCTTTGGCTGTTCCTTGTCTCTGCACAGGTATTTTTCTCTAGCTTTTACTACAGAGCAAATGTTGATATTCTGGAGTGTGTCTTGATGCAAGCAGGGTGATTTAGTGGAGAGCAAACGGAGCTTGGACTTGACCAACTCTCATGGAATTGCCCGGCTTTGCCTGAGTTACGCTTCGTGGTTGGTGCCTGACCCTCCCAAGCGCTGATCTTCAGCTCTTCGTTCACCATCCCTGCTCGGGTTGAAGGCTTCCTGGGCACAAGCTGTCTGGTCTCCTTGTGCTTCAGCACCTTGTGTTCCTTCACATGCTGTTTTCTTTAATTGCATCGTAAGCACAGACTGGTAGTGCTGGAAAGGTTGGTTGGTCTCTTGCTTGGTGGTGGTAAATGCTGTGGGAGCTCACCACCCAGGATTCACTGAGCAGACAGCTCTGAAGACTGAGGACCTTTAGGGTTAGCAACAAACCCAATCTGGCACGGCTTTGGTATTGCCCATCCATCCCAGTCCTACCTAAAGGAATTGCTCCTCTGGATGAGAGGACAGTTTGCAGATGGGATGACTCATGATGTCCAAAGGTTGCTGTGGCTCTATCTGGAGCATGACCCTTGTGGCTATCAGTTGATATTTCAGGCTTGGTTTGTAGCCTTGCTTGGCTTTGCCTTTGGCCCCAAAGTTTGTTTGTTTATTTATTTATTTTATTCTGACTGCCAGTTCTGTCTCTGTGTGTGTAGAAGGAGCACCTGGGTGGCTCTTGTGGGAGCTGCAGGGGTAGGATGAGATGAAGTGGAGGTGAGACACGGGGAGCCAGGCTCCAGCAGAGCTCCTGCCACTTTGTCTGAGGGGTGTATTTATGCCCCAAGCAACCAGCCTCAGCAGCTGGTTGGTATGAGGAGGGAACGAGGGCAGCACTGGAGAGGTCAAATGAGTGAAATCCCACCAGGTTGTCCAACAGAATTGTTGAACCATGTCCTTTTCCTTCCCTGGGAAAGGGTTGAATAATAACACTTTTGATGCCTTTTGACTCCCTTCCGTTAAAAAAAAGCAATAAGCTGCCCATTCCCTAGAATGGATAACTTAAAATAATCCTTAAGGCTTTAAGGAACATATGCAGCAGTTCGGTATAATGGTAATGCTGAAGGCAGTTGAGGCTTCAGGGGATGTAGCAGATGAGCATCATCAGTACCTTTGCTAAATGCAGCTGGGCTATGCTTGACATATGCATGGTATCCACCATCTCCCCAGTTGGTCTGAGCAGTGGAAGCTGAGATGGGCCTAATCCTGCCATTAGTTCTCAGCTATGTCCCTGAGTGCTGGTTGTCCAATATCAAGCATGTCACTCTGCATTGTGAGACTGGGTCCGAGCCTGTGTTGTCTGATGTGGGGTACCAGGACTGTGGTGCAGATGTGCTGCTGCCCATGTGCAGTGCTTGATCTTAATGACAAATCTTAAAGCAGGTAATTGATTTCCATCCAATGAGGTTATTCCCTCGTTGAAAAAAAGAGAGAACTGTGGGTAAAAAATGCCTGACTTCTCTGAAGCAGCAGCTTATCCCTTATATATGGCACTGCCAGGCACCAAGGGTCTCCATATGTTTGTATACCCACATGGCAGTGATACAGGACTGGCTGGCGCCCTGCTCCCCTTCCAGCTTTCTCCTTGAACTTCCCTGTCCTTGGAGATGGGAAGGTTGTCTGCCTGGCAGTGGGGCTGGCTGTAGAGCCTAGGTCAGCAGCTGATGACAACTCGTCTCACCACTGCTGTATTATGAATGTCTGCAGTCTACGTGCAAATTAAACTTCTTTCATTTCTCCTGCTATTCTGTGGGCACTCTCCAGCCACTCTAACTGGCAGAAGTCCTGGTGGTGACTGTTTTGTGGCTAAAGCTGGTCTTGGAGATGGCGTGGCTTGCTCCATGCTTCAGCAGGTGGGCTGTAGAGCACATCTTGTGATCCAGCCAAGCTCTGCAAGTATCTAGGAGCTGTCGCTGCAATACCCATTGGGGATATAACTTAACCCCCAGCTGCAGAGCCCTTCCTGATTTCTCTGAAGAGATCCATGCCTGGCTTTTACCAGCATGCTCCTTATCTGTGCCTGTTCCGCTGGACAGGGATGCAGCAGCCCCTCAAGCAACTGGATCTGCATCTCCATTTCTCTCTTGCTAATCACTTTAACAGCATGTCCTAGGATTGTGTTTTCCCTTCTCACAGGTGTCACAGTAACAACCTGCAGTTGTCCTTTGATTGCTTCATATACTCAAGTTTGGCTTTTGCTCAGTTGCTCCCAGTAACTGAGCTCCTGTTCTTCTAGCAGAAACGAAAGAGCAGAAATTAGTCCCTTTGTGCATGCCTTTGCCCTTTGGACTTGCTGACATCCACCTCTTCCTACAGGTGATTAGGTTTGTTTGTCATTAGTACTGGGAAAGCTGGGAGGCGGTGGCCGTATTTTGGCACCAGCGTCACAAGTGAAGCTCTAGGTGTGCCTTGTCACCCAGACATATCCAAGCTTCATCTCCTTGTGTTTGCTGGAGATGTAAAGTCCAAAGTACACTTGGTGATTATCTCTAAACAAACATTTCCTAAGGACTTGCTTATAGAAGGAAACCTAACCATGTAATTGCCCTGTTTAACACCCAGATGGGTGCTCTTGAACTGGAAGGGGTGTTGGGGAGTTAACACCGTTACATCATTGTATATGTTCCCTGCAAAGATAGGGTTTGAGTTGGCAGAAGCCTTGACATCCCTCAAAGGGGATCTGTTTCTCTTGGCCTCCTCTGGAAGGGGTCTTCTGGCCTCTTTCCTTTTCTTCCTTACGTGGAGGCATTGGCTAAGCACTTTCTGCAACACTGTCATCTTTCCATGCTGAGGGTTGAACGCAATGTTATTTGGCAGATGTCTTCTGAGCATAAAATGGCCTTGCTACAATGATACTGGCTCTAGTCCTGCTTTGTCAGAGGCAATAAACTTCAGAGCTGGACACAACTTGTATAACTTAATGACCCACACCTCATTCATTTTCATGGCTTTCTTAACATACACCACCCTCTGTGTGCATACGAGCTGTGCTGTTCCCTAGCTGCTACACAATTTATGGCCTCTTACTGGAAGAGTTATGTGCTTGCTTCTCTTTTGTAAAAGCTTTAAACTAGAAAGGCTAAGAAGTCTCATGTTCAACCTGGCTACTTCTTAAGCACACAAATTTACTTTTCTATTAATGTCCCTAGGTGCACCCCAAAGCCCAAGAGTCTGGTTGAAATAACACATCTTTCTTCTGACCTTACAGGGTTGACCTCAAGAGCTTGTACAAAGAAGAATTAAGCAAGGAAAATCCCTTTTATAACCCAGCAATGGGTTTTGGTGGTTTTTTTCCCTATGGCCTCCTTATGTAAGGCATGCTTAAATCCATCACTGCTTACTTTAGAAACTCTCTACTGTACTTTCTAGGTTTTAGTTGCAACTTGGAGAGTACGGGCACAGGCAAAGTGTTGGGTTCCTTTGAATGCAAGCTGTTGGAGGATGGACATGCTCTCTGCTTGACTCTCTATCTCCCTTATCTACCTTTTGACTTAAATATGGCCTTTTTTGCTTGTGATGTTGTTTCGTTTCATTTGCTTAGCCCAGGTTAACTCACATCTTACTCTAGAGCTGAATTTCCTTCTTGCACCCATATTTGTGAAATAACATTGTTTCTGCAATGCTCCAGGAGCAGCTGGAGACTAAGTTTGGTTGTTCTCCACGGTGGCCTTGGCATAATGCTTATATTGGTCCACACCAGCCAGGGATAATGCTTTGGGACCAACGGCAGATCCTCTTGAGGCAAAATGTGTTGCAATCCCATGGGTTACTGCAGTTACCCTACTTCATAAAGGGTGAGGAGGAAAGCAAGGTGTGGGGAGATCACAAAAAGTCCCTAAGGGCAGCAAGTCTCGAGATCCTGACTCGACATCCTCACAAGGCTTTGGCATTACATCAGGTGCTCCAATACCTGACTTTCCGGTACCTTTTTTCTGTTGGCTTAGGAGCCTGGATGGGAATTGATAATGATCTTATTAAATCTGATTGAGAAGACACCCAGTGTTCAGATGGGGAAGAAAAACCTCACAGCTCTACAAATGGCTTAGTGTCTCTTGGAGGGAGAAGTCTAAGCAAATCCAAATGCCATGATGTCCTGGATGTGGTTGAACCATGTTTTGTCCCCAGCTGCATCAGGGCTTGCAAGCGTTCCTGGACGTCAGCTCCTTTGTGCCCTTGTGAAAAGATGAAGTGATTAACAATTATCAGTGCTGCTCTCTTTGCGTGCTTGAGAGGGTTCTTGTTCATCAGCTTTGACACTGTGGTGACTTGAATTTTACCTCTTGGTGCTGTCTCAATCCAGGCATGGGAGACTTGGGAGCTGCCAAGTCAACTAGTTAAACCCCTTAATTGCTTTTGCAGTGAAGAGGCTTTAATGCTGTCTTTGAATATTTCGTAGAGTCATCCTAGTGTCTTCTCATGCCACTCTGCATCTCGCTTCTTTTCTTACTTAGCTGCTTCTTGCATTGCCTCCAGACGAAGAGGCATTCATGGACCTTCTCTGTGGTTTTGGATAGTCTTTCCACTTGTGCCTCTTCCATCATCTCTCACTTGCAGTTCCTCTGGCCTCCTGCCCATGCATTCAGGTAGTTTTTGTTCTTCCCCTGAAAAAAATCTTGAAATCCTCCAAGTGCTTTCAGGCAAACCTTTGCAAGAAGTGGAGAGGTCTCAAAGGTGAAACCTGTGGAAAGAGCTGGAGGTAGAGAAGAGGTGCTTTCCACCTCCAATAGTTCCTACAAGGGCTGTTGAGTTGTGGATGGATTTTTATGGCTCTAGAGGCAGAGACGGGGCCTGCATCCTGCTCACTTGCATGTATTTGGACATATTTGCATATGCATTTGGCTTGTGTGTCTCTGGAGCTGACAAGCGTGCACAGCTCTCATCTGTAAACCTGAGGGGCTGTTGAAATTTTAATAAGCACCACCTTCTCTTTATGGCATCTTTTCCCCCCCCTTAAGCCTTAATTTCCATATATAGGTTAACATCTCACACTGTATGAAGAAACATCATTAAAGGCACAATGTTTGTAATCATCAGCCTTTAATTAATAAAAGAAATGCTTGTGCAATATCTTGGGCTGCTGCATGAGCAGCTACTTTCTGGACAAGAGTTTGGTGCTGTCTCCTTTGCTTTGAGAGCCTCTGGGTGCTCAGATTTGAGTAGTGCCTGCATGGTTGGGTTGGGTTTTGGGTTTTTTGGAGGGGTTTTTTGTTTGGTTGGTTTTTTTCAAGGGACATGTTCAGCAATGACCCAGCTCCTTCTTGCTGGAGACAACCTGGCACGGTCCCTTCTTGGGCTTCATGGTGTTGGATTCTTCATCCTCTTCCTTTTTCTTCCAATTCCTGGATTTTTCCCTGGGGAGCGAATGGTATGTGCAAGATGAGTGGGTTCCCCAGTGCAAATCCAGAGGTAGCACTTCTGGACCAGCCGTTCCTGTATTTGCTTCTGACCCAAGACTTGTGCAGCTGTTGGGCTGCTTTCCTTAACGTCCTACTTAATTGCTTTTCCAGAATAATCAGGGTCTTGTGCTTCCAGCTTGTTCCTTCAGTAATTTCAACAAATTTATGGATTACTGTAAAGCACTAAGCCTGCAGATTTATGGACCAGATGGAATGACTGTTTCAGTGGTCTCCAATATACCAATTAGGAGCTCAAATCTTTCACTTAAATGAAAATGCCAATGTTAATCCTGGACCCTTTTCAAAGGAAGCACCACTTAGTGGACTTCAAATAGGAGAAATTAATTTTCAGAAAGCTGAAGTCCATGAAAATGCAAAATTTTCCATTCCCTACTTACTAATCAAAGCTGGTTGCATGGTTTTTTTGAGCAAGGATTTATTTTCTTCCTTTCCTACTTCCCCAGAAAAATCAAAGAATGTATTAGAAGTAAGTTTTCCCAGAGTAACACTGGGACCTACAGTGTTTTCTGGAGAGGTAACCAAGCGTTCCCCTGGCTTGTTGGATTTGAGACTGTTGTGACCTGTCCTGGAGGATGAGGTGAGACCTGGTGAAGTCCACTGAGATCTCTACAAGGAAGAAATTAGCTGAGAAGGTGTTTTGGACAGGACGAGAGCTGGCACTGTTGGAGCTCTGTAGAGTCTCTTGGGTGGCGAAACCCCTTCTTGATGTGGAGGCAAGGGGTCCACCAGCCTTGGTGGAGGGAAAGCAGTGGGGAGCAGGGCAAGACCGATGTGCATAGCAAACAAAGGTTTTCTAAGGGAAGCAAGAGGGTGAAATAGTGGCTTTGAGGAATTTCTTCTAGTGCTACAGTGGATCTTAATATGTTCTTGGAAGGATCTGCTCATGCTTTGCACTGGTGTATGAAAAGCAGGCTAGGTAGTCTCCATCCTCTTAAACTGGCCAGCCTTGTGCCCTCCCAAACAGGGGGTGTTCTTCTTTTTCTTTTTTCTTTTTTTTTTTTTATCCAGGGGTCTTTTAGAGGCTCATTTCATCCGTCTGAACCTCTTCTCGCACAATGGAAATCATGTCTGCTTGGGCAGAGCTTTTGTGGCCCTAGATTCGGAGACCCTGCTTGTGGCAACCTCTTTGCCTGGGGCATCCCATAATAACCTCTTGCCCCCATGAGACAGGGGGATATCGCCATCTGTTATTTCCTGAAGTTGGAGATTAAATGTGTTTCCCTGTCTGCAGAAAGTCCGAGCCAAAGCCAAGGAAGGAGACAGGGATGGAATTAATTTACTGCTTTGTGCAACTCATTTCTCCACCCCCATGAACTCTTGACTTGCTGCCTGCACTCAATTCCCTATAGCCGGCGGGCGGTGGGAGCGCTTATAGACATAGGGTCACATCTGTTCCTGAGCTCAAGGGTTATATTGAGCTCATCTGTAGCTCCCTGGGTCTTGTCTTGTGTCTGGATGGTGAGACCCTGGGAAAGAGATGCTTAGTTCCTGTATCCTTTCATGGTTGTATTTGGGAAGCCTTTTCTGAATAGCTTTGAAAATAAATTGCTGTAAGCAACAGGTAGTATTAGATAATAAAACTGTTATTTTGAGTGCAATGCCAGGCTCTGAAAATGCCCTTTTTAATCCACAAATGGTGGGGTTTTTTTGGTGAGACCCTGCTCCTCTCTTTCAGCAGGGCTGTGACCCCTTTGCTCAGACCCAGCGCAGCAAACTGCAGCATCGCCGGGCACGGATTAACCAGCAGATCAACAAGGAGATGAGGATGCGAGCGGGGGCAGAAAATCTCTTCAGGTGAGTCCTGGTCCCCAGAACATCCTTCTGGCCCAGGGATTTGGCTGGTGGAGAGAAATATGGTCTTGATGTCTAGCAGGCAGCTGATGCTGGCACTCCATGGCTACGGCTGGGGTTTGCTCGGTCTTCCCTTGATTTTGCAGCATTCATCCTAGAAATGCCTGTCCTCCATTCGGTGCAATGCTGATGCTGTGCAGTTTAATGAAAAATTATAGTTTTAATGTCCTGGAAGCCTGGTACAAAGCAGGGTGTGAGCAGATGGAATAATGGGAATAAATGTTTAACTGGGATTGAGCTCGGACTGCAGAGCTCCTGCCTGATAACCCCAACAAGTGGGTTAAATCCAGTTTTAGTCCCCATCCCAATGCTTCCATCAGAGCAGAATCTGAAAATACAGGTATGTCTTTGCAGATGGGCACAGTCCGGTGGCTCTTCACCCTGTTAGAAAATGCATTTATGGGATGGTGCAAAAGCTGGCACCTTTGCATGGCTTTTGGATTGCGGCTGGTCCAGCAGAAGCAGAGCCAGCACGTTACTGCCTTCCCCTGTAGAGCGTTCATGATGCAATCGCATGAATTTTTGCAGCTATTTTATCTTTTTTTAACACAAGGATAACCTTTTTTTGTAGCTTTTATGTGTATCATGCTCCTGTAGGATATTGGAGCACATATGCAGGGTGGGCAGGTCTGTTAATATAAGAAGATGTCATAAGGCTGCCCTAAAATAGCTTTTTTTTGGTATATTTTGCCAGTTCATTGATTATTTTTTGTTCTTCCTCCCAATAAAATAAGATTGACTTTTCACTTCTGAACTTGAATGATTTAACATCAGTGGTGTGTGCCTATTGGACCTGGAAGAAGGGAGTAATAGTTGCTCCACCGAACTATAGGAAGAAATATAGCCGTGGGGCTTCCCCAGGGGAGATGAGGCTACAGCCCCCATACCCCACTGCTTCAACCAGGCTGCTGTGCCTCACATAATTAAAAAAAGGCCATGAAATCCCAACGTGTGCTGCTCCACACGACTCCCCTTTATTATTAAAAAAAAAAAAGTGTGTGTGTAAATATGCTGGCTCAGCAGAAATGTGTCTGGCCACAGTTTTGGTGCAAACAGCGGGAATTGGAGCTGCGTGCAGGGGAGTGAGCAAAAATGTGGTGCAAAACACATCTTAATTACTTGGCCAGGGAAATGCACTAATGGGGCTCTTTTTTTTTTTCTTTTTTTTTTTTCTCTGGATCAGCAGTTTGAATGTCCTTTGGTAGCAGCCACTTTTCCTCCCTCCCACAAGTCCGCTTTGCAGCTGAGTAATAATGTTGGTTTCTGGGTGCTACGGTGCTCAGAGCTTATGAAACATGGGAAATCTGGGGGGGCGAAGGGGAAAAAAAAATCATGCTAGTGCCTGAAATTAAAGCCTGAAAGGGGGTGTTATGTTGTAAGTCTAAAGGTTATTGCTTAAAAATTATAGACTTGAGACTTGCGTGGAGAAACTTCCTTTGCGTCTCTCTATGCCAGTGCTAAATGCAAATAGAAAAAAGCTGTGGATTGCCCAGCCTGGAGCAGACTTTGCAGCTGAACTTGCTGGTTTCTTTGCCTCTGCAAAAAAAAAAAAAAAAAATCCCTGCAACTCTGCTTTTAAAAAAATAATCTTCTGAACTGTTCTGTTCAGCATATCGGTCTCCTTTCCTGGAGAGGTTGCCATGAATGGTGTGTTGGAAAAAACGCACGTGGTGTTTGCTCAGCAGTGTTAAGAGGGTTTGTTTGCTGGATAAATAAATGGGCAGAGGCAGTGGAAACCTTTTCCTTTCTTGTTCAAATACTGAGGCTGAGGGAAGCAATCAGGGAGATAAAGGTGTTGCCAATAAACCAGTTTCTTAAAAAGAAATTTAAAAAAAAATCAGAAGTCTTTTTTTTGGTGTTAGCTAGGCAAACAGCTGATAACTTTACTGAGGAGGTTGATGGAGCTATGTAAGCTCTGCATGGTCACACGGAGATCAGAGTTTGCCCCAGACAGGGAGCATGAAGTGCCTCAGTGCAGGTTTGCTCATGGAAATGACTGAGTGCTTCCCTAAATTACCTCTCTGAGAGGTATTGTGCTCTTAATTGTTGCATGTGGCACTTGCATAGTGAAAACTGAAGTGCCCCGAAGTGATGTTGGGCTTCAAAACCTGAACCTGGTGACCAATCCTGGAAAAACTTGCATGTGTGTGCAAAATCCTGCAGAGCAAAATTGGGCTTTGCAGGGCGATACATCCTTTCTGCTGCAGAGCAGGGGTGAAAGCACTGATCAGAAATATATTGTGTATATGCAAATGTTACCCCGGTGTCGCTGGGTTGCAAATCAGCACAAATCAGCTATTGGTAACACAAGAAATTAAAAAAAAACAAAAAACAGATATTGTTGCCAGCTGGGAGCAAGAAGGGGAAACTCTCTTTAATTCATATTGGAAGAAAATTGTAGCCACAGCAGTGATGCACCTATGTCCTAGAGGTGTTGTGATGCGTGGAGGACTAAAATAGCGACTAAGTACTGGTTTATATGGAAAGAGGGTGATTACTGTGCTGATACTGTATGGGGAATTGCAGAAATGCTGAAGGATGTTTAAATGGCAGCGGCCCTGAAGACCTTTGGATCTGCTGTGGTTTTGCTTTGTTTGTTTAGAATAAAAAAATGCTTTGGTCTTGGGAAATCCCAGCAAAGGGGAGTCAGGGGAGGAGACACTAAAGGATCAGCATCTTAAAAAGAAAAACAGCATAGCTCCTTCTACTGCCCTGAGCCAGGTCAGGGCAAGGTCCCTGAAGGATGCTATCCACAAAAAAACAAGTCAAAGGCAACATGCTCTGCAAAAGGTGGGGGAAAGCGATGCCCTGACTGAGCAGAGCTCATGCATGTGTTGTTTTTCTTGGAGCCTGTCATGATTTAGCATGAGCAGCCAGAGCCCCTTTCAGCCAACAACTGCAGGCTGTCAGTTCTGGGTTATCTCTCCCCGCTTTCCTTTGGAGCAGATAAGAAGGTTATAATCAGCCTGGGAGTTTGTCTTGCTGGGAGCAGGCAGCTGAAATCAGTCCTTGGTGTTTACATCTCCCGACCTGCACGAGTGGGGAAGGGAGAGCAGGGTCTGGCTCTACTAATGGGTACACACAGCAAGCCTCTTCCCTTGCAGAAGGGTTGTTTGCACTGAAAAATAAGTTTTTCCTCTTCAAACACAACCATAAAGCACTTCTATTTGGTGTGGGAGAGTACCTTGAGTACTCATAGCTGAATCTGAAGCTACACTGGAGGCGGGGGCATGGATGGGCAAGGGGAACATTGCTCTGGGGCAGAAATAGCAGGTTCATCTGAGTAGGGTACAACACTGTAATGAGTTTTGCCTGGCCTCTACCTTCAGGGCACAGTGGTCTGGATACTCTGGCTTCCCTGGTCCCAAAAGGCTGAGAGAGTTGGCATTGTTCAGCCTGGAGAAGAGAAGGCTCTGGGGAGACCTTATAGCAGCCTTTCAGTACTTAAAGGGGGCTTATAAGAAAGACAGACAGACTTTTTAGCAGGGCCTGTAGCAATAGGACACTGGGTAATGGTTTTAAAGTAAAAGACGGTAGATTTAGACTACATATAAGGAAGAATTTTTTTTACAATGAGGGTGGTGAGACACTGGCCCAGGTTGCCCAGAGAGGTGGTGGTTGCCCCATTCCTGGAAACATTCCAGATCAGGCTGGACGGGGCTCTGAGCAACCTGATCTAGTTGAAGATGTGCCTGCTAATGGCAGGGGGTTGGACTAGATGACCTTTAAAGGTCCCTTCCAACCCAAACTATTCTATGATTCCACGATTCTATGTTCTCCCACCATGCTTTTCCCGGTGCATGGTCCTCCTCAGGGGAGGATTGCTGTACTCCTGGGGACAGAGAGAGGTGCAAAGACCATCAGTGTCTCCATCCTGCAGGTTGCTGCAATGATATTTAATGTAGGACCAGGATGATCAGCATGCAGGATTGTGTTAGGGTCGCGGGGTCTCCTATTGGGAGAAAGCCAAGGGAGCCCATATCTCCACCACTCTTGGGTGTTTTCTGCACTCAGAGGGTCTGTTTGCAGTCTCTGAATGTAATCCTGGCTCTTGGGCCTTCTTTTTCTGTGCTAGAGGTAGGGATGCATGCAACATCTCCTGTGTTGCATGCATCCTCCCCAAGTTCTTCCTTATCAGGGATGCTCGGCTTTTCCAACCTGCTGCTTGTTTGCCCTGGTTTAAAAAAACCAGCGGCAGCAGCAACCCCAAAACCCTGCCCAGGCTGAACAAAAGCCCCTTTGTTTGCTCTAGGCATTGGATTCAAGCGGAAATCTTGTTAGGGAACGAGCAATAATGGCTTTTCTGCACTAATTATAGCTCTTGAAGCTGTTTATTCAGTATGAACAGATGAAAATATGGGTGCAACCTCCCTATCCCGCTCCCCAGGTTTTTGCAACTTTCTTTGCCTCTTTTCCTCCCTGGCCTAATGAGTGATGTGCTTACAAGTTATCAGTGGTTTCTGGAGGTAACGAGATGAGGCTGTTCTGCAAACCTGGGTTGGCGAGGGCTTGATCCTGCCTGACCCACCTCCCATCGTGCTCTCTGCCAAACTTTCTTGTCTCTTTAAACCAGTCCCCTGGGAGGCCAAGTATCTGAGGATGTGGTAACATGGCTCGGTGCCAGGGCTGGGGACATCCCCGAGGGATAGATGAGTATCAGGGAAAGCATTTGTGGAGCCGATGTGAGCTGCAGGTACTACGGCGGGTTCCCATTCCCCATCTCTGTATACAGGAGTTGGATGATGGGTTTAGCTTTGGGGCTCTTTGCAGGGCTGTAATTTTCCGCATGCTCCAGGCTCTGCTGCTTATACAGACCATTTCTTTACTTCTTGGCAGCAGAAAATCAAAATAGCTGCTAAATCCCCCAAAAGATAGTCCTTCCTGGCTGTCACCCTGCAGCGCTTCTTCCTCAGTGCTGCACAACTGCCCTGGTTTAATACTGAAACACGAATCACTCCCCAACTGGGTGTTCCCAGTGTCGTCGTCATCTTCAGCATTTTACAATATCGAATGGGCTCTGCGATAAGAGCTATTATTAGACAGCTGCTTTAAATAGAGGTAGAAAATTTCAATATCAGATGCAGCACTGCAGCTTGAGCAAGTCCTTATCAGCGCCAAAGCCCAGATTAGCATGTAGGAGTGGGTGAATCTGTGACCTGTGCTCGTATCACGCATTGTTCCCAAGGGCTGGTAATTAAAGCAGCTTCGTTACTGGAGCCTATTTTGTTGCTGTTGTACTTGTTATGGACAGAAAAGCAGAAGCTGGAGGAATAAGGGTGATGGTTTCAGGTTTTTTTCTGCGCACCTCCCCTCTCGCGCTGCCGTTCCCAACATCACATTGGGAAGAGCATCCTTCTGCTGTGCAGAGTCAGGTCCTCTTCTAGCTTTATCCTTTAATAGGAGCAGCAGAAGCTCAGGGCAAAAAGCCGCTCCATTTTAGTCCCTGACACCACAGGGTCTCTCCAAGGCTTTTAAACCAACCACCAAATAGGTTGTTGTCTTCTTCCAGTGAGTCCATCAGTGTCCCCATGATCCCTTTGGGCCTGAAGGAGACAAAGGAGCTGGATTTGCTGGTACCACTGAAGGTGAGCATCAGGGTTTTGCATGTTTGTTGAGATGCAAGATGATGGACTTGAGTGACCATGCACTTTGGGGGATGTTTCAGCACATGGGTACGGTTGGGCACTGTAAAGGAGGTGCTGCAGCAGCTGCAAAATATTTTCTGTTTTGGAACAGCTGCAGAAAAAAAATTATGGGGAGGAGCTGGACTTAAAACATGGGACAGTGGGAGATGAGGACCTGGAGATGCTGGAGAGCAAGAGCTGGGCAGGGGAGGAGATGTTTTTCCCTGGTGTGGGTTTCCTTGTGGGGAGAGCTGGCAAGTTGCTTATACAGAATCGCCCGAAGTCACCCTTTATATCATGAAAATCTGTTTTGAAGGGTGGCTCAGGATTTTCTCTTCTCTTGTTTCCCCATCCAGGATCTCATCAGTGAACACTATGGAGAGGAGGGCATTTTGTTTGAAAAAGAAATCAGAGAGTTCATGGAGCTACGGCAGGTCAGTGTCCCTTGAGTTGCAAAGTCCAGAATTGCTTGTTGGAGGTGCCACACTTTGCCCTGAGGGTCCCCTCATTCTCTCTCCAAACTGCACCCTTATCCTTGTGTCTCGGGGCATGGGATTCCCATGCTAGAGCACCTCGGCTTCAGTTCATAGGTTACAAAATATTACAGACCATTCAGTAATTGTTTTCTTTCTATGTCCTTTAACTCCCTGCTATCCTAGAACTGAACAGCAATAAAAGTTACAGTGCAATCCATTACTGGTTTATGAATATTAGTTCACCCCCGGCAAGGCTAAATGACTCCTCTCTCTCCAGCTAGTGCTTGGAGAAGAGGAAATATAAAGCAAGCCAGTAAAGGTGAATTTTCTTCTGTCCTATGAAACAGATCTCATAAGTAACTTCAGATTTTGCCTTGCTGTGAAGCTTTGATCTGGGAGAGCGGAAAGAGGCTTGCTCAAGCCCTTGTGAAGGCCCTGATCCTGCTCTTCAGGCTGCGGGAGAGGAGCTCTGCAAAGCCAGGAGCTGGGAAAAGCCCTGTGGTTAAAATTAGGCGTTAGGAGAGGTCTGACCCTCCTCCTTGTGTCAGGTCAAAAGCTCAAGGGCTTTTTTATTAAGAGCAAAAAATCCTATTTCTTCCCTAGCATTTATTTCATCAGACTTTGCATGAGTTTCTCTTAAAAAAAAAGTAATAATCCCAGCTTGGTTTAGATGAACATTGCCTCCAGCACAGCTCCCAGGCTGCTGGCTCTGGATTTGGGTGCCTCAGCACTGAATTGGTGCCTCCCTGACCTTTCCCGCAACTCAACCTGTGTTGGGGGGGCTGCCTCCTGCTGCTGCACAGCCACTTGTCTGCTCTTGATCTGATCCTATTGATCTAATAACTAAGGTGGAGTTTATCTACCCCTGGGCTGGCCAGCATGTGCAGCTCCATAAATCCGACATTTCCTTCCCGTTTTCCCCCTCTCCTCTCACCCACGTGTCTCATCTCCCATCCCCGCAGGCAATGCGCACCCCGAGCCGCAACGAAGCTGGGCTCGAGCTCTTGATGGAGTATTACAACCAGCTCTACTTCCTCGACAGCCGTTTCTTCCCTCCCACCAAAAGCCTGGGTGTCTTCTTCCACTGGTTGGTGCAGCTTTCCCCATCCCACCCAGGACATTACGAGTGGGGAGGGAGCCGGGGCCAAGCCTCCACGACGGGATTGCTGCCTTGGCAGCAAAGCCAGGACTGGTGGACACGGGGAGCTGGGTTTGCTCTCGCCCTGGGTGGGTTAATTAGGGGAGGCAGGTGAAAGCACATTCCCCACAGGGATGAGCCATGGTGGGAACGATGGCTGCGAGCCCACGCGGAGCGCTGAAAACCCTCCAGGCTCCTCCTGCGTCCGTGGGTGAGGAGCCAGGGATGGGCAGCTGTTGACTTTTCCCTTCCCCAGGTACGACTCCCTGACGGGGGTCCCATCCCACCAGCGGGCGCTGGCCTTTGAGAAGGGCAGCGTGCTTTTCAACATCGGAGCCCTGCACACCCAGATCGGAGCGCGGCAGGACCGTGCATCCCTGCCGGGGCTCAACCAGGCCATCGATGCCTTTCAGAAGGCAGCTGGTACGTGGGTTCCCCACTTCCCTGGCTCCCCAGGGGCATGCAGGCAGCATTTCCGTGGGGTGGGAATAATCCACGTGAGTGCAAGAAGAGGAGGGAGCAGTCATACAAAGAGGGATGGGGACAGGGTGTCTCCAAGGGACCACAAACCAAGTGCAAGTTGGCACCACGCTGCTTCTGTGTGTGATGAAGAGGAGCTGGGATGACCCAACAGCCACCCAAAGGGCTTTCTCTTGCCGCGTGGCAATACGGATGTCCAGCTGGGGAGAGGAGAGATGCTGATCTGGCTGTGAGCAGCTGGGGAAGAAAGGGACCCTGGGACTGTGGTCACCCAGGGCTTTGGAGAGGAAAGCTGTGGGCACAAGGATGGTTTAGATAGCAAGGGAGGGACCCCCAACCTTTTTACCCACTGGTTATGGTGAGGTGTTTGATGTGCAAGTGGGGTTGCTGGCTCTTCTCCTGTGATGCTGGTGGGGAAACCTTTGTGTTCCAAAAGTCTTACTCTCCTGCTTACAAGCCCGGTGGCTACCAGGAGCTTCTCCCTCATGCAGGTGCCTTTAACTACTTGAAGGAAAACTTCTCCAACGCTCCCAGCCTGGATATGAGCGCCGCCTCCTTGAACATGCTGGTGCGGCTGATGGTCGCCCAGGTCCAGGAGTGCGTCTTTGAGAAGATGACCTTGCTGCGTGCCCAGCACGACTTCCTCACCTGGCTGCAGCTTGCCCAGGAGGCGGCAAGGGTGAGCACCTCAAGAAGGAGAAGACTTGGTGGGGCTGTCACCACTGGAGAGGCTCCTTCTGTGGCCACCAGAAGCCCAGGAGAGGACAGCCTGCTGTCCCTGTCTCCTGATGGATGTCCTATATCTCAACCCATGGCTTAGCAGCTTGTCTCTTGATGCCCCACAGGTGGAATATGTCTACTCACTGGTACACCAGACGATGACCCAGGCCCACGTGAAGGATTACGTTCCCTTCTCTTGGACGACCATGGTCCACGTCAAGTCGGAGCATTTTAAAGCCCTCTCCCACTACTTCGCTGCCATTGCTCTCTGTGACTGCCCTGGTAAGTGTTATAGCTCAGAAGCAGCTGCCTGCTCAGCCAAGTGCTGGCTCCACATGGTAGCCTGGTGTTTGGGAGAGAATGCAAAGAAAGGTGAAGGGACACATGCACAGTGTAGATGGATCCAAAACCTAAAGTTTCTGGGATGCTCTGAGCTGTTGATCTTGCTTCTTGACTCAGCAATTCATGCACAGGGCAGATTTCCTTTCTATTTCTGGTTTGCAAAGTCCTTCCAAGAAGGTGAGCAAAAAGATGCTGTAGCGATGTCACCTGCAGTTGCCTTTGGGACTGGGTGGGTAAAGAGGGGGTCAGCTGCCTGCTGACCACACGTGTGCTGGTGTCCTCGGCTGGGTATCCTCCAGAGGCACCCAGCTCCATGTGGTGGGCCAGCTGGGGCCTTCAAAAAATAAAACCAAAAATACCCCAGGATATCCCTGGACAAACTGGTCTGGGCTACTCAAATGTAATTGCGAGCCTTGCGGTCAGCTGCCCTGGGCATCCCAGGGTGGTGAGGTGCTGGCAGCAGGGTACGCGTGGCTGTGCCGGAGCTGGGCTTACATGGCTACGGGGAGCCAGCTGGAGCCTGGACGTGGGATGCAACCTATGATTTCCATCTGTGCCGTCACTGACGCTCAGGCAAGCAATTTCAGGTCAGGCAGAGGATCTGGGGGCGGGCAGCCGATGCACGCTGTGACCTGTGGTGCTGACCCATCGCTTGGTGGGGTGGTTGAGGACAGGCTGGGGGATTTCTTGAGGGATGGCTGCCGAAAGCAGTGCTGTGTCGGTGACGGCTGCCAGACTGTCCCAGCATCCTCCCCCACTCCGGAGCCTGCCCAAAATCTTGCTGCCGGGCTTGTGCTGTGTGGGCGTTGCAGAGGCAGGATTGAGCAAGGAGAGCTGCTGGGGCAGAGACGGGAGAGAGTGGGGTACAGTGGGGCTGGAGCGGCTTAAAGAGAAACTGCAGAGGACAGTGATGGGGCCAGGTTTGCATGGAGTTACAAGGGACAGTGCAAACCTTTCCCCTAAAATTTTGAGGCTTTTTGCCTGGCCTAACAACCTCAGGTGCCGAGGGAAATACAAATCTGCAGGAGTTGCCCGATTTGGGTGTTTGAGAATATTTTTGCTCCATCCAGAGCATGCTGTTGAGATCTCACGTGCCTGCTTGCTGCCTTTCCCTGACCCCCTTGTTCAGAATATCAAATCTTTCACTCCCATAACCAGCCAGCAATAAATTCTTTATGCTGCAGTTTAATCCCCCAGGGATGCTGGCCTGGAGAGGGTTAGCACAGGGAGAGCCAGCTCTGGAGCTGCTGGTTCCCAGTCTGATGGGTGCCTATGCTGGGGGTGCTCACCAGGCTTTGAGATCTAATATTCAGACCAACAAGCCCACAAGGCTCCCTGGAGCCCTGTGAGCTCCTTCCTATCACACTCTGTGCCCAGTCAAGGAGGCTGCTATCCAACCCTGAGCTCCCAGTGAGGCAAAGGGGATTAGGAACAGCTTTGGCTGGAAATAAGTATGTAAAAATCATGTGTACAGAGCCCCGTGCGGTGCTTGGAGCACCTGTGCAAGCTCTATCCATCTCAGTTTCTCCATTGAAGGACCCTCTTGGTTGCACTGCAAGCTCTCTGCCTGTGCAGAGGTTGCAGGAAGGAGGGCTCAGCTCCCAAATTCCACTTCAGTCTGCCCAGCTCTTGTGCTTTAGTCGTTGTCTGACTTGGCTCCATGTCACTAACCTCCAGGTGGGGAAAGCCCAGGGCTCTTTATTTCCAATCCTGCTTCCAGACCAGAGCAAAGGAGGGAAGGAGACAAAAGAACCAGATACTTGTGCTGTGCACAGGACAAATCCTGTACTTGGCTTCAAAGCCCAGTGCAGCCTTAATGGGATACCTCCTCCCTTTCCCATTCAGTGATGTCTTGGTCGTTGCAGGGTGTAGTTGGGTGGGAGAAAGCTGCTGCTGAAGTTATTTGGGCCACGTGAACATGGTTGTGGCTTCCCGGTCCCCTCGTCCCCACTGCCACAGGGGTCTGGGTGGCCGAGCAGTGCCCTGACTTCTCTCTAAGCCCGTCCCCATCCATTTGTTTCACATAGCGGCATCCGATGCTGAACTGCCAGAGCAGGAGAAGGCTTTTATCCAGTTCCACGTCACCATGCCAGAGGGACCGTCGCTCCGCATCCTGCTGCAGGACCCTGAGGAGAGGAGGAAGCTGGGTAAGCACATTGGTGGGAGCAAAGCCCCCCGTTCTTCCAATGAAACCTCGATGCACAGGCAGTGAACCCCATTGTAACCCTGCCTGTGTAGGCATGGTGTCCACAAAGGAATGTGATGAGCTGTTGGGGGATGTTTCCATGCAAAGATGCCTTTTGTTTTTTGCTTTCTTTGAAAAGAGCCTCTCCTGGGAAGGCAGGAAAATGTCACAGTTCTCTTTTAGGGTGTTGAGGACCAACTCATGCTGCTTGCACCAACCTGACCAGCCAAGTTTGACAGTAAAACCTCAAACATTGAGGTGTCCTGAGCCAGGTAACGTCACCCAATGCAGCATGGAAAAATCCGTAGGAACACAGAGATCCTGGAAGCTCCTTGGCTTGGGCTTGCTGCTGACTTGGCTTGATAACAAGAAGACACAGCAGATGCCAGGGGGGTGGCTTTTTTAGCTGTGTCAAAAGGCTTGGGAGACGAGAACTTCCTCCCATGTGGATTTTCAGCTTCAGGGGAAAAACAGAGCGTTGCTTATTCAGCTGAAGTCATGTTTTGGCAGCCCCTCCCCAACGAGGCTGCAACAAGACCAAGCTCAGCGCCCTGATTTTGGGGTGTTGTCTGCTGTTTGCCTCCCCCATGAGCTGCCTCCTGATGCCCTTTCCCCTCATTGCACACATGTGAAAGGAGACAAGTCCCAGTAGGAATAAGTTTGTCACGTCGCCGGCCCCAGCAAGGTCCTCCTGGCTGCTCAGCTGGATTTTACTGCTGGGGATGGGAGGTGGAGGACATGCATGAGGACATTTCTTAAATGAACCCCAAAACCAGAGCATTATGGTAACACCACCCCAACACCCTCAGCTGCTGTCATCTGGTTTCACGATTTGCATCAATGCAGCTTCCAGCTCTCTCTGCTCTTCTTGGGGGGAATGGGCTCCATTCAACATCTGCTGGTGAAAAATGAATGGGTGGATACCAGCCTCAGCTCTGGTTTTGGTTTACAGGAAGGGAAGAAGTTTGTGGCATTAAAATAATCTCCTTGGAAGGATATTTTTTTCCCCCCTTCCCTTGTCTCCTAGTCTTATAACATTGTGTTTTATCAGACATGGTATATTCCACCATCTTCAATAGAGTGGAGCCAAAAGCTTGCACAACTTCTATGCTCGACCTCTATTCCCAGTGATCTCTTGAAAATAGCAGGAGTTGATGATATTCAATAAAACGTAGTTGCTTTCTTGCCCATGGATGAGGTTGGCTGTGGGTGCTTTGATAAAATATGGTTGATTGCACTTGATACAATTATTTTGGAGACTCTCTTCCTCTCTGGTTTCCATTCAGCCTCAGTATATTTCCTCGATTGCGACTTCTTGTAGGGAAATCAGAGGTCTTCGGGCCACTGGCTGTGGTCCTTGTAAGTCTGGAGCAAACCCTGATCATCTCTCTGGGTTATGTTGCCACCGTGTGTCCTAAAACTGTAAATGCTACAGGCACACGTGTTTCTATGATACGTGTGTGTATATACGTGTATATATATATAGCTTTTTCCGTAGTTTAGCGTTGGATGCTGGTATCTTGGTTGCAGTCTCTTGCAAAGGAGATGTTTGCATTGATACCCATGGGTCATCGTGATTTCATCTTTTCTGGCCATTTTTCGGCCGCTCCGTTTTCACAAGGGTGGAAACACATTGAAGGCAAGTTGAGAGGAGCAAAGCAAGTCCAGACACCGAAGAAGATGGAAAGCAGGACCTGCAGGGCAATGAGAAGGCTTTGCTTAGCCTAGAGAAGAGGGAGATGTGTTGCATCTTCCTGAAGCTAAAAGGCTGTCACCAGGAGGATGGGGCTCGATCGTCCTCCATGTCCCCCCCAGGGGACACAAGGCGATGGAGAGAAGTTAATTTGCAAAGGAGATTGAGGTTAAGCGTTAGGAGGGACTTCGGGGGCGGTGCGATGTGGTGGCGGCTCCTTCGCCGGCATTTTTCGGGAACATCTGCCAGCTCCGCTGCCGGCACCGGGGGAGCGAAGTAGGTCACCCTTCAAGGTCCCTTCCCAGCCCTACCTTGGGGGCTCGAGCTGACGGCTGGGACCTACTCTATTTAGCGCACGTTGAATGCCTGGCAGGCTGCGAACGTGACTGGGCTGTCCCTGAGTCACGTCGGGTGACACAGCCGCGAAGGCTGCTGTCATCCGTGGGCAGCCGAGCGAGCGGAGAGGGAACGGCGGCGGGGCTGCTCCGCTCCGCTCGGGCTGCGATCTCTCTGCTCCCTTGCAGGCAAAGCTCACCTGAAGAAAGCCATCATGAAGCACGAAGAAGCCATGAGGATTCACGGCTTGTGCAAGATCCTGCGGAAGATGGATATCCTCCAGGAGGTCCTCTCCTTTGCCCACAAACGCTCACTGAGCAAATACTCGGAAATCGACCACGAGGAGGACTTCTTTGAAACTGGAGATGCCCCGGACATTCACCGTAAGTGGATTTTTGGGGGTTCAGCTGGGGAGGGGATTTCTGGCAGGTTGTATGAGGCAGGCAAACTCCGTGGTGAGTTCGCGGCATGTCGCTGTGGACCAGAGTTCCCTGCATGGTGGTGGAGCATCACAGGTGGGAGTGGGGGCTCTGGGTTGCATGTCTGGCAGCTGCATGAGCAGGTCCTGGCTCTTATGGGTCCTACCATCCCCCCTCAGGGAGCATGACATAGAGGCAGCAGCTGCTGCAACTACCTGACCCCAGTTTATGTGCTTTTCTCTCCCTACCACTAGCCAAAACTCACCAGAAACCAGAGATAAAATCCCCCAACTTCTCCCAGGTGAAGGTGACCGACCTCTTCCATAGGCTGGTACGTACAGCTACGGGGATGGAGGTTGCCCTGAGGGAGCAGACATCTCCTCCTCCTCCCTTGCATGCTCTGCTTGCCTGGTTTCCTTCCTCCCCGCAGCCTCTTCTCCTTCTCCCGGTGCAGCCGCTGCGCTCGCAGGTGGCTTTCCAAGGAGGATAAGCCACTTCCTCGCAAGCAGGGACCCGTGCGGGAGGAGAGCTGGGAGGGTGCGGATCTGTCTCTGCAAGACCTAAATGGGTCGCGAAGCTCCTCTGGCACATGGTGGAGCAGGCACAGGCTTTTTGGGTGGGCTTTACCCCAGAAGGACTGACAGGACCCTTTAGAGGAAGCTTTTTGGGGGCAGGATGGTGCCAGCTGGGAGGCACCAGGAAAATCCCACTGGACCTTTATCCCTACCCTCTTTAGCTTTTACAGGGTCCTGGGGAGTAGGGCTGAGCTTCAGGGCTGCTGTGGGACTCAGCTGTGCTGTCCCCATCCCCCAGGCACCCCAAGGGCTGTGTAACACCCCAGGGAAAGGTTGGGCATCTCTGCTTTGTACAGCCCCAGGGTAGCTGTGTATATCCTGCTCCTGTGGGAATAGAAACGTAAGAAAAAGACAGGAAAACAGGAAAGATATGGGGGGGATCTGACCCTGAGGGGGTGACCTGTCCCACCGCCTCGCACCCTGCTACTGAACCACCCCAGCTGGGCTGCATCCCCCAGAGCCAGGCAGCGGTGAAAAACTTCAACCCCCATTGTCCCTCTTTGGGTGAAGTTGTTGTTTTTTTTTTTTTTCCTGAAGGGGAGAATTAAGGAGCCAGCTCTGCCCACCGGAGCTTTCTGTTTCATTTGCTCCAGGATTATAGTGTCTAAACTGATGCCAGATCGCTGACTGTGCCGAGATGTCCTCCTGCCTTGCAGGACCGCAGCACTGCTGGGAGGATGTCCAGACCTAAGCTCTGGGCAGAGGGTTGGACCAGAGACCTCCCAAGGTCCTTCCCAACCTGCATGAGACTGTGCCTGCTCATAAACCCAACATCTGACATGGGCTTTTAAGCACCTCTAGCTTTATAGTGCATAAATCTGTATTTTGGGGCATGCAGGCAGGGTAAAACACCAGGCAGGCTCAAAATCACATCCTTAAAGAAATGGAAAAACAGGCTTTCTTGCTCTGCCTCCTCCCCATCAGTGTATGTTTTACAAGCTTGCATGTCCCCAGGGAGTTGTTCTTGCACCAAAAGGTGCTTTCCGTGTTTCTACCTTACCGCAGGGACCCCTTTCGGTTTTCTCGGCCAAAAACAAGTGGTACCCAGCACGAAGAGTCCACCTGATGAGAGGAGAGAACGGTTTTGGGTTCACACTGCGAGGAGACTCCCCGGTCCTTATTGCTGGTGTCATCCCCGGGGGCTGCGCTGCCGTGAGTACCCCAGGCTCTTGCTGTCCCTATGGGGATGCTGGAAGTGAGGTGTCAGGGGTTGCCTTGAGGGGTACCAGGTGGTTTTAGGTCTTAACACTTAGTTGGTAACTGCATTGGTGTGCTCAGGTGGAGACTCAACCCTTGCCGGATCTCAGCCTGGGGCTTGCAGATGGGTGTCACGAAGGAATTGAGACTTATTTTTTTTCGGAGACAGCTAAGGAAAAAATACAGAGGTTAGCTCAGTTTTTAACTGCTGGCAGCCTCTCTTTGGCAAGCACCCAGCTCCCTTCTCCCCCATTTTGGGATGTGACAGTGGATAGAACAAGATGGCAAGTCTGAAACGCAAGTTATCTCAGTGAAAACTCACTGTATGGGCTTTCTGATGTATCAGGGGTAACTTTGTTTTCCAGCAGAAGCTTGCTTGGAGCATCCTGGTGGGGTGCCCGAAGGTCTTCCCCCTCCCTCAGCACTGTTCAGCATCAACCCTGCCATCCAGAGCCCAGCATCGCTGTAACAACATGCTCCTTAGCAGCAAAATCACATTGCTTTTTGGGAGACTAAGTTCTTCTCAAAGACGATATATGATCCATATCTGGAGCACCGTTGTGTTCCCTGGGCTTCATTGCACTCAGCTGGCATGGGATTGGACTCCAGACAGACACCGAAATGGGGGTGTCCCTGGGTGGACAAGTTTTTCTAAACTTCCATTGCAGCTCGCCTGGTGTGTGCTGACTGAGTTGCTCCTAGCTCTGATGCTGTCCCCACAGCCCCGAGCTGGCACATGCTTTCCTTCAAGCATATCAAGACCCTTGTTGATGCCTTGATGGATGAAGGGTGTGCAAAGAACCTTGCTGAGCCTGCTCTGTTTTCTTAAGGATCAAGGCTTGCAGGCAATATTTTTTTATATTTTTATTCTGGAGACCTGCAGCATTTAACCTTTATCGAAGAGTCAGAGCTGGATGCGCTTTTTGCAAGGCTGCAAAAAGTCATGGGGCTGGGAGTTTAGAGCATGCTGGATGTCAAGCGTGGCCATCTCCAGCAGCTGCAAACGAGACCCTTAGTCCGTAGAGCACCTCACTTTTGCATGCACACTGCAAAGCAGATGTAAAATCTTTAGGATGATGAAGGCATTAGCTGTCTTGTGCTGTAGGTGGAGGGTGGACCCCAACCCTCCCTGTGGCCCATATCTCTGCAAAATTGGGACCTACAGAGCAGGGTGGACACCAAGCAGACCTCGTGCAGTGGCATCCATGAGCTCAAACATGTGCATCTTCTGTCTTCCCCCGCAGGAAGCCGGGCTGAAGGAGGGAGACTACATCATCTCGGTGAACGGCAAGGACTGCAAGTGGTCCAAGCATGCCGAGGTGGTGCAGCTGCTGAAGAGCACTGGGGAGGAGGGAGTGGAGATTGGTGTGATAACCCTGCAGGGCTCGGAGGCACCAAAAGCCGTAAGTCACATCCCAGGCCTTAGGTGGGAAACTGCAGAAGACATTCCCCAGTGTCTTTCTGCCAGGCTGGAGGTGCGGGGCTGAAGCTGGGCATCACGTCTGCAGCCCAGGTGCCACCCTGGCTTCACACCCCTTGCTGCTCCTCTTCCCAAACAGGCGGACAAGAAGGCAGCGGCAATGTCCTCAGGCAGCGGGATGCTGAAGAGCAACAAGGAGAACAGCCGAAAGAGCCTGATGAACAGCAAGAGCGCCAGCACGCTGCTCGTCTGGAGCAAGAAGAGCAAGCGGAGCAAGAAGAGCACCTACGGCATCCCCTTCACTGCGGTGGGAGACAATGAGGCTATGTACTGAAGCAGCTACCGGGCTAGGTCATGTCCCATGAGCTCTGGGGCAGGCTGCCTGTGAACCCTTGCAAGCACCAGTGGCCTGTCTGGGCTGTACTGGTGTCAGTGGTGCAAGGAACCCCCCGCCCTGGGGACGTGCCGCTGGTCGGATCCTCTCTGAAGAGGCGAGCGATGCACAGTACCGGACTCCTCCATCCCCAAACACCTACGTTAAACGATCCTCAGCTAAACAATATGGGGAAACATTGATTTATTCTTAATTTTTAGATTTTTTTTTTTCTCTCTTAAGGGGTCGGGGGGAGCTGTGCTTCGGCGTAAAGCAGGGACTGGTTTGTGTCTTCTGCTCAGTGCGAGGAGCAGCCATACCAAGCCCCAGCTATTAAAGCAAAAGCTGTAACCTTCTTTAGCATCTCCTAGGCTTTCTCTGCAAGGTAGAAGATGGCACCGCTGCTGCTGCTCACCGAGAGCTGCTGGCAGAGCCGAATTGTTTAGCAGCTCTAGCTGGAGGTCATCTTCAATTCCCCTTTTTCGGGAGAGGGGATAGAGTGGGCATTGATGACTCGTGGTGACTCTGTCATGGGGTCCAACGGAGACCTGCCCAGGCAGCACTGGGCTGTGCATTTCTGCCGTGGTACCAGTTAGGGATGTCCCAGTGAAATGAGTTGAAGTTAGGATGGGTTTGACTATTTTTTTTTTTTTAGTGCTCTTGTTTTTTTTTTTAATGGACACCCAGGTTGGCCCAGGAAATACAGCCCAGCTGCACAGCCTGCTTCTTTGGAAGAAAAGGGAAAGACTTGACATGCATTTGTTGTCTCGCTTTTTTTAATCAGTAGAGGTGGATTGCCCTAAATACGTGAGTAGATTAATAGCTAAGAGTCTTGTATTTTTCTTGGTATGAGATTAAAATTCCAGGAAGATAGCTCCTCCAGATTATTAAACTACTAAATTTGTGCTAGTATTGGATCTTGCACACGTTGCTAATACCCTAACACTGTGCTGTCAGCATTCGTACCGGAGCTGGGCTGATGGATACATGCATCTTGGTAATTGTACTGGAAATGCTGGGAGACTCCGAATACGCGCTTAGATATATTGGCAAAATTTTCTCAATCCCATTTCTGCCTTGTGCATTATTTTTCTGAAGGCTAAAGAGCTGTCTGGTCTTCAGTGCTTGGATGATCTTGGTAGGTATAAAATACCCTTCAGAGATGCAATTGTATTTTTGTACTTTTTAAGTCGTGACAAATTTGTAGCAGCAGTTTAAAGAAGTGAATGTGCACTGGCAGTGGGATATCATCGTGAGAGCATCCCCCCAGGGTTGTACCATGGCTTCTTTCTTCTAGATGGCTGAATGCCCACGTGCCAAGCTTTTGGCCCTGGTTTTATCTAAGGAGAACTAAAGGAGGGCTTCTAGCTCCATGTTATTGACTGAGAGGCCTCTCCATAGACCGAGACATCATCAAACCGGATTACGGATCTGGCTGCCACCGTGAGGCCATCTGGTGCAGTCAGATTTTCTACATAATCTTGCCAGCTGCTTGGTGCGGGAGTGGTAAGGAAGGGGGTAGGTTCACAGAAAAGGCCACCTTGCCGTTAAAGCATCCCGGCAGCATCTTCCCCCCATCCTAAATGTGTTGCCGACACGGACATCTCCGAGCTGGAGATGTATTTATTTAGAAGAAGCATGCACAAGCGGCGAGCCTGCACATCGCGTTGCCACCTGCATCACCCAACTCCTCCATTGGCATTGGCGGAGGGGTTGCGTTTTGTGCGAGTTGGATAATTTCCCTAGTACCAGTGGTTTTGGTTTTGTTTGGTTTTTAATTTGTACGTGGACTCTCACCTTTTATGGATTAAAAAGCACTGATTCAAAAACACTTCGTAACGTGCATCTCTGTTGCGAATTATGGATGGACTGGGTGCACTAGCCATGGGGCGGGGGGGGAACAAGCCCTGGTTGGGCTTCCGAATGGGTCACTTTTGGGTCATTTTTACATAAATCTGGAGCTGTTGAGGTTGGGAGAGATCGTTTGGTTCTAGTACATCCTAATCCAAGACAAACCGAACTCCCAAGTATCCAGATCGGTCCAACAGCACTTGGTGAGCTATTGTCTCCATCTCCACACGGTGTAATGGGAGCTGGTGGCTTTGTCAGATGAGTTATTTCATGGAAGTAATGCAAGAGGTGGGGAGTGGGACTCAGGTTGGATCTCTTGGGGGCTTTTCTTCTGAAAAAAAAGGAAAACGTTCAAGAAAGTAATTTGCTTCACACCACATGTTTTATTCTGCTGTTTCTGTGTTTCCAAGGGGGTTTCCCACAAGGGTTTCCAAACCCCTTGTTTTTGGAAGACCACATCAATGGGAACAAAGGCATCGCTCCTGTTGGACAATCTCATTGGTAGCTGGTAAACAGCAAAGCCTTGACATAGGACCCCCCCCGCCTCTATGTTTCCTTGGGGGCCTGTGTTTCCCTCTACCCCATCTTCCTGCCATCCTGGGAGGATGCCCAAGCCCATGGCTGTGGGGCTGGACCATGGGTCCTGCCAGCCAGACAAGTCCCTCACTTGGGGGGGGGGGTACGCACCCCAGTGCACCTCACAGGAGGTTAAAAGGACAGAGTAACTCCTCTTCAGAGACACAGAGGTGGGTTTAAACCCCCTTAGATGGGAATGAACTAGGGTCAGTCTTTCAACATTGGGTTAATATATAAAAGCATAGTGGGAAGCTGCTTTTTCTCCTGTCTACCAAGCCAGGGTTAAAATGGCGTCTGACTTTTTTTGACATATTTTTGTAATTTAAGGTGTTTCCCCTTTCATCAGACCTCCTGTACCCAGCATCAACCTCAGAGCCCTGCCAAGTCTTTTAAGCCACCCACACTAAGTTCTTCTGCTGCAGTAGATCCCTTTCCCACCTACGTTCAGTGGATGTGGGAAACTCGTGACTCCATAGCCGGGATCGCCTCCCCCTCCAATGACATATTGTCAGATGAGATGTGTGCTCCATCAGCGAGAGTCTGGTGCTCCCTCCCTCTTTGCTGAGAGGCTATGGAGCTGGATCTCTATGTGCTTGTCTTCTCCATCTGGACTAGGAGGCGAAGGGGTCCTGCAGGATCCCGGTGGTGGTGGGCCAACGTGGGTAGAAAGCACAAGAACCATTGCAAAAATAGCTTTACAGTAACCAAGAGACTTGAAGTCTCTCCAAGCTCTGTTCCTGAAGAGATGAGCTGCAGGTGGGCTCAGGAGCTGAGGCCATGTGCAATGCTCCTTGGTCTGGGCACCCTGGGTTGGGACCAGTTAATGCAGCTCTTGTGGGCATCTTATGACCAGAGAGGGGATGCAAAGAGGGTTTTGGTTTTTATTTTTTTATCCCTTGTTGATTTCTAGGGCCCTTGAGACAGAAAACGGTGGTGCCCACCATCCTAGAAACCCCATCAGGGAGAGCCCAGCAAACCCACAGGTGTTCAGCCACGTTTCCTACCTTTGAGGTTGAATTTTCCTCCTCTCAGAGCTTCATGCTCAATAATAAAAATCTCCCAGCCCATATATCAGCCCTTCCAGCATGGTGGGAAGGTGTTTTGATTTTCCCCTCCATTAAGTACACAACGGCTCTCTTAATAGAAGAGGAGAAGGTACCTACGGTGTCAGGAGCTGCGGCCGTGTGCCTGCCTCCTCGCTTCACAGCTTGTTGGCATCGTAACCCATCAGGGCTTTTCTGGAGCTGTCACTGGCTACAAATTAATGTTCCTGCTTGTCCCTGGGAACAACAGAAGGAAATCAGCTACTGGGTTGATGGCCCCCAGCCCAGGCGTGGTTTGGTACTGGGACACTGCACCTGTGCAAGGTTCTCTTGCTGCTTGCTACACTGAATTTTCAAATTGTTAGCGGGATCAGACCCTTCAGCAGCACCCAATGCTGCTTTCAAACACTCCCGGGCCAGGAGCAGATCAGCAGGGTTGGTCTGGGCGAAGGATGGGGCAGAGCAGGCATTCTCCTGCTCCCAAGAAGGAGAAGGATGCTGTACCTGCTTGGTCCCTTGTCCGGTGCTCGCTCCATCCCATGGAAGGTGTCATCCTCAGCTCCGCATCCCACCTTGGCCTTCCTGAGCACCCATGTGCTGGGTGTGGAGCAGGGTGCTTACAGCCACCCTCCTTTCCAGCCTGAGCCCACTGGAGGGCAGCAGCACCCTGTCCAATACATCCCTTCCTCGTAGCGCTGGCACCCTAAATCTGCCCAGTGAAGCTGGCACCCTTCGACTCATGCTGCCACCCAAGGGTGAGTTGAGGTGTCCCTGGGGTGCTTTGGAGACCAGTGCATTGCAAAGCATGGCATAAAAAGTAGTTTTAAACCAAGTATCCCATGAAGTCCTAAGCGTGCAAGAAATAAAGCCAAGCATTGCAGCACAGCATGCTCTGGGGTAGAGCACCCCGAGCTCATAGCAAGCTCCATCCACCCTATAAAGGAAGGGGTAAAATTTTGCTGGGAGCACTGGAATCATCCATCCTGGCCCTCAGCACCCCCCTGGGGCTGCAGTGGGGGGCTTGCTTCCCTAGGCTGATCCTAAAAAAAGCTTTGCCAAGGTGGTCTCTGAGATTTGCAAGGTCCCCTCTTGGCTCCCCAGAAGCTTGGAGGTGCCAAAGCTTTCCTGCGTGGCAGCAAACCAGACTGGGAGGCTCATCAGACCTGAGGCCACAAGAAAGGGGCTGTGTCGGAGGGGTGTGAAGCCACCAGGGCAGCAGAACCAGGTGGGTCAAGGCTGGGCTTCAGGTCAAGGCACTGGGGGCCGCAGGGGAAAGACCAGTAGATTCAGGAGCTGGTGGAGATGCAAGCTGGAAGCATTGCACTAGAGGGCAGAGTCGGTACGTGCTTAATCCTGCTCCCCACAGTCCAGCCAGCACAGGGTGGGATGGTGCTGGAGTCCCGAATTGTCACATACCCCCATGCATGTAGATCCATGCACATGACTCTTTGCGAACCCTTCTACGTGCTAACACCCAAGTCGGCTCTTGCT